AGGCCTTATCAACCACCGAACATGAAATTGGTTCGGCCAATGTATAGTTTAGAATTTTTTGAAATTTATGGTAAGTTTAATTAGAATTCAAGTCAGAACCAAATAATTAGAATAAATTGAATTAGATTAACCAACTTAAAGTATACTTAATTAAATCCCATCCCTCCTATATAAGCCAAGACAAGCCTAGAAACACTCATATACACACACTTTCTTCATCTTGTTGAACTAAAAAATGTGGAGTAAGAGAAATAAGGAGAGATTGAGATCAAACAAGAGGGAATTGAGGAAGACTTAATGAGATTAGAAGGAATTTGGAAGAATTGGCTTGGAAACTTAAGGGATTTGCTATATAGAGCCCAATTGAAGACTTAAGGAAGGCAATTCAACTCCTAAATTATGAATTTGAGTCACTTAGTGCAAGAAATCAAGAGAAATAGAAGAATGAAGCTAGGATGGAAGAATTTAAGCTCAATACATGTATGCATGCCTCTCTCATTTCATTTTGAAGTTGTTTTCAAAAAACTCTCACATGCATGTTTTTATCTTGGCTATGTTTTAAGAATTCAACATGTTTTTGTGCTAAATATCTCAATTGATCATGTTTTGGAAGGAATGATAGCATGTAAATTCTTGCATGTGTTATATCTCAAGTTTCAAGTTTGGTTTTGCATAATTGACTTGCTTTGAGCTTTGATTTTGCGAAATGATCTTTAATTCATGAGGTTTTACATGTTTACACATGTTTTCTCAAGTTTTGGCTCAAAAGAATGTGTTTTCATGCATTAGAATTGTGTTTTGAAGCTTTGAGAGTAATCTGGAAATTCCAGAATTTTGCATGATCGTTTAAGCAACGATTCTTTTGCTCGAGTGTAAAATTTGAGCTCTCAGAAGTTTTGCTGAGTTTGGGGGTTGGTTCGAGCGGCAAGAGTTACTTTCGAGCGACCACCCTTTGTTTTGAACCTTGGCGCGAGTGACCAAAAGTTGGCTCGAGCGTGAAAATCGAGCATCTAGTACTTTTACAGACTTTGTAGACCGCTCGAGTGACAGAAATTGTGCTCGAGCGAACTTTCCTATTTTTCAAAATTTGGCTTAGTGTATCAAAGTACAGTTTTGCATTTTCATTGCATCTTAGGCATTCCTAGGCCATAATTAAGCTACAATAATGAGGATAAGAGTTAGAAACACACGCTAAGAAAGAAGAATGATAAGTTAAACATCTTTGAGAGGTATGTTCAATGTGCATCTGTCACGTGTTTATCAGTCTGTTTTGTCCAGGTGATCTGTTCTACTAGCGGAGCTATCTGTGAGTAACAACTCTATAAAGTTATGTTTGATTATACTTATTTTCTGATTGAAATAATATGATTTATTTTCTGAAATGCTATTTGTGAACCATGAATGAATGTCCAATTTTTTGTAACGTAATGTGGCATCCTATGTTCATCTGGCCCTTGTTTGGGGGTAACAATACTGCGATTTATATTCATGTGGCTCTTGCCCGGGGGTAACAATATCATGGTCTATGTTTATGTGGCTCTTGCTCGGAGGTTACAATATTGCAGTCTATGTTCATGTGGCCCTCGCCTGGGGGGAACAATACCATGGCTATATATGTACAGAGATCTCTGTCAGTTCCAATTCTTGGAACTACTGTTTATTGTATTAATGACCATCAAATGACTGTTCGGTCTTTAAGACTTACTATACTGTTAGCTACTAGATATACCATGTATGATTGTTTATGAAATCTGCATATGAATTTGAATCTATTTCTAATATGAAATATGATTTTTGAATCTAATGGGGCATCATTCATAAACCCTTTATCTTGTTGTTATTCACTAGGCTCCAGTTCACTGTATTATTTATGTATGTAGGTGATCAAGTGCGGGACCAAGCTTAAGTTGTTGCCTGGAGTTCTGTTTTGTCAAGCCAACAAATGTGCCTTCCGAGAAGGTTCCCATGTGGTTCAAGTGATTAAGTTTTGTGCACGTAATGTTTATTTTTATCTTTCATTTTCTTTTGCTTGGACAAGACTTTTGTTTATTTATATGTAAGGGTGACGTAAGATAATGATATGTATATATGACGTCACTATTTATATGTGAATATAAGTTTTAAATTTTCTATCCCATATATATTTACACAGCACTATGGACATTGTATTTTATATATTTGCTTCCGCTAGCCCCTTATTTTGTTAATTCGTTTCAGAGGCCTTTGGTAATCTTAGGATTACTGGCCGGTTACAATGCTAAACCTATAGGAGCAGATTTGGGTCGTGACAGAGTCTTACACTAACTACGTTTAGGTAATGGTCAAAGTCTTTAGATATTATTTTTATTTTGGAAGTATAGTGGGCCTAAAATCAAAACATCTTAGAATTATAAGAAGTAACAAAATTTTTCCTTTTTATTAGTTTTTATCACCATTTCCATATCCAAGATCTGTTACTAGGTCATAATCAAGTGCTAGTACTAATCGTAAACTGTCAACAACATCATATTTTTTTACAAAATCTACCAAATACTAGTGCTGTTAAAAATACAGAATTTACTAGAAAAAAAGTTAATAAAATATCTCAAAAAATCGTATATTATCAACAACAACTAGATTTAGTATCCTAAAAAATAAAAAAAAATAAAAAAAATACTTAGAATGCCAAAACCCGCAACCTTGTATTATAATGCCATAACCCGCAACATAGTATTTATTAAATTATTTATAATAATACTATAAAATCATAAAAATCACTCAAAAAATAATGAAAAATTGATTGAAAAGTCTTATTAGGAAGATGGAAGTTCTCTTGACTTTTTGGTGCGTCAAAAAGTCTTACTTATTTTCAATTGTTACCACGATTTTTTTTAAAAAAAAAAAAATTAGTGGCATTTTCATAAAAAGTGTCACAAATTGTTAGTTTTTAGTGATAGTTGAAAATTTTATTATAAAAAACGTCATTAATTGTTATTTTTAGCGATAGATGAAAAACATCACTAACAATTGTGAGACTTTTTGATCTATACAGATACTTGAGACTTGATGATGCACAAATTCTTATAATAGGACCTGTGAATACTTACCCCAAAAAATATTTAGAAAACTATAATCATGGATCACAATCATTCTTTATATTGTTCACATTCAATAAACTTTAAATTTACATTATACAATTTCATTATTAATTTCAAATTAAAAATTCACAATAAATATTAGCATTTTTTTAATTATTTTATCTCAAGCTTGAAGAATTCCCATAGATCTGACGTTGGAACGGACGTTATAAGTATTTGACAAAGTCATTTTTTTCTCCGTCCTCAACACCTCATCGATTCTTCACTTTATTAATGCTTTAAGTAAAGGTCAAAGGGTGAATTGATATTTGGCGGATTAGAAAACTATAGTCATGGATCACAATTGATTCTCCTCAAATTCGTCATCCGTCTAAAATTAAATGGGTTGAAAAAAATCAACCTGTAATCGTCTGCTTGTCATTACGCATCCGTCCAAAATGCGACAGGTCAGTTCGGTTTGAACGGATTGATATATCCGTTGCTCACCCCTAGTTTGGTTTGTCTCTCAAGATATAATTTAAAAAAAAAAAATTAGTTCAATTTTTTTGAAAAAAAATTCTAAAATCATTTTCTCTTACTTACACATCAATCAATCATTTTTTTTTTCTCATTTTCAATCACTTTTTCTTTCACACACATCTATTCAACTATAACAAAATATCAAATTATTCTAAACTCTCAAATTCTGAAACTATTTTCAAAATATACAATCAAACAAACCAAAAAAAATTTTTAAATCTCTTCCAAAAATCTTTTTTGAAATTTTATCTCAAAACACAAACAAAACACATTATGAGATTTTAAAAACTTTTTTCATTTTTGGACTTAACTAAACAAAAAGTCTAAGGGTCCGTTTAGTTTAGTTTTATAATTATGATTTGGGAGTGGAGTTTTACTTTGAGTTATGATTTTTTGAATCATGATTTGAAAAAATAAATTTGATTGGTTATGCATTTTAAAAATAGTTTTAAGATGGTTTGGACTTTTAGTATTTTTTTGATTAATTGAGATATAAAATGTGAGAGAATATGAGAAGAGAGATGAGAGAAAAAAAAATTGATTAATTGATTAATAATAATAAAAAAGAGAAGATAAGAGTTTTAAAAATAATTTTAAATTATATTTTCAAAATATATTTGATTAACATATTATTTTTAAATTATAATTTAAAAATAAAATAAAATTTTAAAAAGTAAATCAAACGCTACCTACAATTTTTTGAAACTTGAGTTGAAAAAAAGTGACCAAACGCGTTGAATAATTTTCCGAGTTTGATGAGTCTAAAAAGCAAACTACACTCCCTCCGTCTCACACGGAACTTACGTTTGTCCTTACATCACTAGTTCTCATAATTCTCTCTGCTATATATCTTCCAACAATAATGATTCTTCTCATTAATTTTAGAATATTAATTGAGCACGTAAAAATTAAAAAAAAAAAAATTTAAAGTTAAAACATTACATCAATGAGTAGAACTTACACACTAGAGCTTTCATCTTCAAATTAGGAGGAAAAGAAAAAAGAAAAAATATATATTTTTAAAACTTTAAAATATCAATTTTAAATTGAAAAAACTAAAAAAAAAAAAATTATGTGCAAAAAAAAAATTGAATTATTTTTTGTGCAAAACTAAAAATTTTGTATATATAAAGAAACATAATAATGGAACATTGATGTGTAAAACTTAAAAAAAAAATTAAAAATGAAAAATTTGATAATATTCTCAGTTTTAAAATTGAAAAAAATAAATAATATTTTTAATTTTATTATATAGTTGAATCAAACTAATAAGTAAAAAGGTAAAAATATTTAGAGGATGATTTGGGATATGTTGCATTATTTAGAAGGGTAAAAACATTATTTATTTAACAAATTAAGAGATATGTTACATTTCTTAATTGAGATCATTCAATTCTATCAAAATTTATGTGAAGTAGTCCCGCATTATTCCATCTTTTATTTTTATTTTTAGAGATTTTAAAAGTTTTACAAAATATTCTATTAAATGTGGGTGTGAGATGCATGAAACTCACACCAACGAAACTATTAAACTTGTTCATTCATGTCACAACCATTGTTAAATAATGATGTATTATTTATTGATGTATTACAAGATTGTTGTATATATTGATCTTTTTTTATGTTCAAATATATAGAAGAGAAGAAGGTAGTAGGTGAAGTGGTAGGGGATGAAGTGGAGGTGGTAGTGGTAGGTTAGGTGAGGAGGTGAGTGTGTGTGGTAGGTAGTAGTGGGTTAGGTTTAGTGGGTTTAACAACCATATTTCACCAAAATTTCATAGTTCTCTGAATCTCAGCAGCCATGGACCAAACACCGCATGTAGCTTTTTTACCAAGTCCAGGTATGGGCCATCTCATCCCTTTCATTGAATTGGCCAAGCAACTCGTCCACCGCCACCACCTCTCCGCCACCATCATCATCCCCTCCGCCGCACCACCCACTAAAGCCCAGAAAACAGTCCTCCAAACCCTCCCCAAAACCATCCACCACATCTACCTACCACCTGTTCAATTACCCAATGACATCAACAACGCGGAATCCCAAATCTTCCTCACCATGACTCTCTCTCTTCCCTCTCTTAAATCCACCCTATCCTCCCTAACCGCCACCACCCACCTGGCAGCGCTTGTCGTCGATTCATTCGGGCTTGAGGCCTTCGACGTAGCGAAAGAATTCAGCCTCTTACCGTACTTGTTCTTCCCTTCGACAGCCATGGTACTGCTGTTTTGCTTAAATTTGCCCATGATCGATGAGACGGTTACGGGTGAGTATAGGGATCTACCTGAACCAATACAACTCCCTGGTTGTGTACCGGTTCACGGTAAAGATCTCGTGGACCCGGTTCAGGACCGGTCGCACGACTCGTACAAGGGTCTCCTACGGAATATAAAGCAGTTCGGTTCGGCCGAGGGGATAATTCTGAATAGCTTTGTGGACTTGGAAGAGGGAGCTTTAAAAGCTTTACAGGACGAAGGGTTGGGCAAGCCGCCGGTTTACGCAGTCGGACCTCTCGTCCAAGCTGGTTCGACTGAGGCGTTAGAGCGGTCCGTGTGTTTGCAATGGTTGGATGGTCAGCCAAGTGAGTCAGTAGTGTTTGTCTCATTTGGAAGTGGTGGCACTCTCTCTCAAGACCAACTCAATGAGCTAGCATTGGGTTTAGAACGGAGTGGCCAAAGATTTTTGTGGGTAGTGAGAAGTCCTAATGACAAGTCTGCCAATGCTGCATATTTCAACGCACAAAGCCAAAACGACCCTTTGAGTTTCTTGCCAAAAGGTTTTTCGGAGAGGACACAAGGACAAGGCCTAGTGGTGCCGTCATGGGCACCACAAATCGAGGTGCTAAGCCACCGCGCTGCCGGAGGTTTTTTGACGCACTGTGGATGGAATTCGACCCTAGAGAGTATTGTCCATGGTGTTCCTCTCATCGCTTGGCCACTCTATGCAGAGCAGAAGATGAATGCAGTGATGTTGACTGAGGGTTTGAAAGTGTCACTGAGACCGAGAAGTGATGAATCGGGGCTAGTGGGACGAGAAGAGATTGCAGAAGTTTTGAAAAGTCTAATGGAAGGAGAAGATGGGAAGAAGGTTCGCCAAAGAATGGATGGACTCAAGGATGCGGCTGCAAAAGTCTTGAGTGAAGATGGGTCTTCTGCAAAATCACTATCTGATTTGGCATTCAAATGGAAAAATTATAAGAACATTTGAGGCCAAATTATTATTATTATTATCATTATTTTTTCCAGTTCAACTCATTTCATTTTGTCATGTTTTTCGTATTTTTTAGTTTTTATTGTGTTGGCTGCATGGTGTATTACGTGTAATTTGTTGGATTTGTAATTTATTAATTATACTTGTTTGCAGCCGGAATGTGCTATATTGATTTGATCCTATACATAATCAATCCAAATTTATCTTCATATCAAATGAATTATTTGATAGACTAATGCATTCAAATAAAAAACTCTTATAGGTAGGGACCACATTTATTATTTATAAGATGATTTCTTTCAAAATTACAATTTGAGAGAAGTCAAACATATATAAAGAATATGTTATATCCGTTGTTAGAACAATGTTAGGAATATAGAGAGTAAACACAAAATGAGCCATATCTCACCAGAATTTATAATTTACACGATGGAGTCGTTAAACGTGAAAGCTAGACTTTACAAACAACTAATGCCTTTGTACATGTCACCAAATCTTATAAATATTAGGGTCTACCATGGGTTCTATTTCGATAATCTGAACTGTTTATTTTGTTGGACACTTCATATATTTCATCCACAAAAAAATTAGGTTGATCCAATAATTATATCTTGTTCAAATTTTTAGTAAAACAATAGACAATGATTTTGTTTTTAAAAATAACCATATAATTTTTAATGACAAACGCAATAAATTAAACAAATTACAGTAATCAGATTGACCAATTTTTATTTTATTTTTTATGAAATACACGAATTTCTCGATAAAATAAATAATTCGAATAATCAAAATAGGGCCCGTAAAATCTGTATTGAAGGAGATTCTTTTGCTTTAAAAAATAAATAGATTTTAATGAAGGAGTTTTATAATTATTAATATTTATAAAATTTATCATTAATTTATAATGATTTTTACAAAATACACTGTTCTAATATTTCCCAACAATATTTGAGGAGGCCACCTAACCATAGTTGAAATCTTGGAAATATTTGAGGAGGCCACTTAGCTTAGCCATAGTTGAAATCTTTCAAATCCAACTTTAACTCCCACTTGGTATAAATTTATCTTCTCAGTACAACCCAAACTGCTCTTTCTTGCCAATCTTTCATTCTTTCTAGCCCAACTTTTCTCTCTCGCTCTCTCCTCTTTTACTCTATAAATCAAAACATAGCAGATCCAACTTCTTTCATTCCTCTTTCAAATTGTTCCATTCTCCATGAATCAAACTTTTTATAAACCCAGTTTCTTTCTCTCCTTCACTCTTCTCCACTTTGTATAATCCGAACTTACCCATGATTAAGGACGACAACGGCCACCCCACCCCATCCCATCGCACTGCTTGCCCTCTCACCTTCAACCTACCCTCATGAAACTCTCCCTCAAGAAGTTTTCACAGATGGCGCCAATTATATGAGAAGTAAATAATCTTCACTTTCGTACTCCTTGCCTCTGTGCTGGTCTCACTCCAAACGGTGTCGTCTTTCTTGCAAACACAACATAAGTGAGCTAACCGGCGAGTGTCTCGCTAGAAAATCCCTCTAACAGTCAAGTCAACACCCTCAGAGAATATAGGAGAATCAAAGAGTTCTGTGGCTGAAGATTACTTACCCTCAGGAATGATCTCGCAAGTCTTATGTAGACAACTTATCTCACTTTTCCATCTGGTGTGCATTATTCTCATTGTCTTGGGGTGAGGACATTTTGCCCCTTGATTCCCTTACATACGTGCACTTGTCAAAAGCAGACAACCTGACAAACCATAATAACTTGGGTAGAACGCAATTTGTCCTTCACATGGTATTGGACCAAGAGAGGCACTCAACTAAACTATCTCTAGTTGTGACTGAACCTGCACAACTCGGCCTAACCTAGATTGGTTCTTTCAGTTTGAGCTAAACCTGGCCGGTTAGCCCTCACAAGGTCTTCACAACTCGACCAAGCATGTTTAGCTCGGTCTAGCTACTTCCATTTGTAGTCAGGTCACATTTCATGCAGCCATATAGCTCGGTCCAACCTTACAACTTGACAAGGACTCGCACTCTTCTCCTTTAGCTCAGCCAATCTTTATTAGTTTTGCTTGGCCAATCATGGAATAATGATCTTAGCTCGGCCCGTTTTGTTCGGTGAAAATTCCCCTCACAACTACCATCCCTACTAATGATCTTGTTCTCTTTAAAATTATTCGGATCTTTCTTCACCTTCGAGAAAGAAAATTAAACATGAAAAGGTGAGGATGACTGTGTGTTGGATTGGCTGGATTGACCTCTCTGTTTTGGAAGACATTAAATTGATTTTTTTATTGTTTTTGGAATTTTTCATTCTACGAATGAAAAGAAATATTTTAGAGAGAGAAATTTAATAGCTGCAGAAACTTTGGGTTACAGTGATACCAATTCTCCCCCTACCGACTTAGGTGGAGACATCAACCATACCTGCCAAAGTTCGACACTTTAAACGTTTGTCACTCGATAAAGTCTTTGTCAACATATCCGAAATATTATCATCTGTGTGAACCTTTTCGAGTTGCAACAACTTCGAATCTAACACATCACGAATCCAATGGTACCTCACATCAATGTGTTTCGATCTCGAATGAAAAGTAGAATTTTTACTCAAATGAATAGCACTTTGACTATCACAATAAAGCACATACTTTTCTTGCTTCAAACCCAATTCTTGCAAAAATTTCTTCAACCATAACTCTTCTTTGCAAGTTTCTGTAATGGCAACAAATTCAACTTCGGTAGTTGAGAGAGCAACACATTTTTGTAATTTAGATTGCCATGCCATAGCTCCCCCTGCAAAAGTCATCAAATACCCCGAAGTAGATTTCGTAGAATCAATATCACCGGCCATGTCAGAATCCGTGAACCAATTAAGCATTAGCTTACCATCCCCAAAACACAAACATACCTTCGAAGTCCCTCGAAGATACCTTAGAATCCATTTTACCGTTGCCCAATGTTCTTTACCCGGATTAGAAAGAAAACGACTCACCACGCTAACGGCGTAAGCAATATCCGGCCTTGTACAAACCATGGCGTACATCAAAGAACTAACTACTAAAGCATAAGGAACTTTCAACATCTCTTCCTTGTCTTTCTCACTTGTAGGACATTGATTCGAACTAAGCTTGAAGTGACCTGCAAGTGGATAACCAACCGGCTTTGCTTTATCCATGTTGAACCTCTCAAGCACTTTCTCAATATAACTTTCTTGAGACAACCAAATCAGCCCCTCTTTGCGATCACGAACAATTTTCATACTAAGTATTTGCTTTGCCAATCCCAAATCTTTCATAGCAAAAGACTTGCTCAACTCCAATTTCAAACTGTTAATCATGGTAGAATCTTGACCCACAATTAACATGTCATCAACATAAAGCAAAAGAACAATAAATTTGCCATCCGGAAAATTTTTCACAAACATACAATGGTTCGAAGTGGTTTTACAAAAACCATTATTCATCATGAAAAAGTCAAATTTTTTGTACCATTGCCGCGGAGCTTGCTTGAGGCCATACAAACTTTTCTTCAATTTGCAAACAAATTTCTCTTTCCCCTTCTGCACATGAAAAGAAGCACCGGAATCAATCACCCAATTGCTCTCTTGGCCCACAAAATTGATACAATCATCTTCACAAACGACCATGAGATCACCATTGGTAGTAACTGCTGTTGTGTCTTCTTGTTTCTTATCCACACTTTTATCACATCAAGTTGCTCAACTTCAAGGTTCATACTTGCAGCCATGCCAAGTACAACCCGAATAGAAGACATCTTCACAACCGGCGAGAAAATCTCGTCAAAGTCAATACCTTTCTTTTGCCCAAAGCCTTTCACAACAAGATGTGCCTTGTACCTCAGATTCTTGCCATCATTCTTCAATTTGAAGACCTACTTATTTTTCAAAATTTTCCTCCCCTTAGGCAAATTCACTAAATCATAAGTGTGATTTTCAAGTAAGGAGTTCATCTCTTTTTCCATGGCCTTTTTCCAATCACCTTTCTTTGCGTGCTCAATTGCTTCTTGGCAGCTCTCAGGCTCCCCTTGATCGGAAATCAACACAAATTTATTGGGAGGATATTTTCTGGAAGGTTGTCGGTTCCTTGTAGATTTCCTCAACTCAAGTTGTGGTGGCTGTTCTTGAGTTTGATGCTCTTCCTCAATTTATGGCTCAACTTCATTAGGATTAGCATCATCCTCCACATCTTCAATAGGTGGCTGCATATCTCCCACATTTTCATCATCAATTGAAGATGGGAGATGGATCCATGTCAATGAGATCAGTAGTTTTTGGCTCAGGTTGATCACCTTTGCCAAAGTCTTCAATTATTTAGTCTTCAAGAAACACAACATCACGGCTTCGAATGGCTTTCTTGTCGACCGAATCCCACAATCTATACCCAAATTCATCACGTCCATAGCCAAGAAAAATGCATTGTCTTGACTTACTGTCAAGCTTGGACCTCTCATCCTTTGGAATGTGAACAAAAGCTCGGCAACCAAACACTCTCAAGTGCTCATAAGTCACATCTTTACCGGTCCAAACACTTTCAGGAACATCACCATTCAAAGGATATGAAGGAGACAAATTGATCACGTCAACTGCTGTCTTCATTGCCTCACCCCAAAAGGATCTTGGCAATTTAGCTTATGAAAGCAAACACCTTGTTCTTTCCACAATGGTGCGGTTTATCCTCTCGGCAACGCCATTTTGTTAAGGAGTTTTCTTAACTGTCTTTTGGTGCCGAATACCTTGGTTGCGACAATACTCATCAAATGGCCCAATGTATTCACCACCATTGTCTGATCGGATGTACTTCAATTTCTGTCCTGTTTCTCTTTCAACCATGACCTAAAAATGCTTAAATACTTCTAGAACTTAATCTTTAGTTTTTAGTAGAAAAGCTTAAACTTTCCTTGAATAATCATCAATGAAAGTAACAAAATAAAGTATACCACTATGTGTTCTAACTTTTAAAGGACCACAAACATCCGAATGAATCAAGTCCAAAACATTTTCCTTTTTAGAACACTACAACAAATTTGGGATTTAAAGACAAAACAAATTTGTCCAAAAATGTATATATTTCGTCACCCAAACTAATTACGACGAACATTTTTCGTCACCCGTTTTGTCGCCAAAGCGTCGTCGCTAAAGGGTCTCCGAGATGAAAAAAACAAATTCGTCATTGCAAATGATAAATTTGTGATGAATTTTTTTGTCTCCAATACACTCTGTTGGGAATATACTTGTAAGTAATTAGCGACATAATATTTTGTCATTAAAAGAAGAAATTAGAGACAAAAGTATTTTGTCATAAATATAAGAAATAGAGACGAAATAATTTTGTCACGTTTAATATAAACGAGACGAAATTTTTTTGTCAAAGAAGCTACCAATAGAGACAAAAATAAATTCATCATTAAAAATGATAAATTTGTGACGAATTTTTTTGTCTCCAATACACTTTGTTGGAAATATACTTGTAAGTAATTAGCGACAAAATATTTTGTCATTAACGAAAAAAATTAGAGACAAAAATATTTTGTCATAAATATAAGAAACAGAGACGAAATAATTTTGCCACGTTTAATATAAACGAAATCAAAATTTTTTTGTCAATGAAGCTACCAATAGAGACAAAAACAAATTCATAATTAAAAATGATGAAATAATGTCAAAAAAAATTCGTCACACATTAAGGGTAATAGTGACAAAATGTGACAATATGTTTTATCATGACAAATTCATTTAGCGACGAAATAAAGAATTCATGACAAAATTAATCATCCACCTAAGCCAAATAAGAGACGAAAAAACCTGCTTTAGGGATGAAAAATTTTGTCACTAATTCCATAACATTTTTTTTCCACATTATATACCTATTTTATCAAAATTTAAATTTTAGTTCAACAAATATAACCCTATTCATGTTGAAACCTGTTGAATATAACAATTCCATCACAATTTAACCTAACATGTTATCAACACATTTACAAATTAACAAAATGAAAATACACATTCATCATTACAAATAATTTCATCCTAACACAATAAAATAGTGAAATATCGACAAAATATTCACAAAATATCCAAAAGTTATAACTTGTTCAATTCCACCAAACATCCAACAATAACTAGTGCAACTCCATAAAGTATGTATCCTTATCAAACAAAAATGAACATTCAAGCAAATTACATCATTGTTGCACGGAAGCAACATTTTTCTGAAAAGAAACTCTATGTTGTTTACCCGTCAAACAATGAATACAAGTTTTAAGATGTGTACCTTTCAAACCGGGTAGAAGCCATCCCAATCCAATCTGCAAAAAAATAAATTAAAAGCTTTAGTAATTAATCAATTATACAAAAGATTAAAAACATTAATAACTCATCAATTTACAATTAAATCAATTATACAATTTATCCCTCTAACAAACTTTTTTCAAGATTATGAGAACAAAAAATTAACTTTAAGGCTAATTCACAAATGGTGCATCCCATTAATGTGCTGTAAGTTCATACAACATATATTGGTCCCTCCTAAGGTGTTTCTATTGGTTCATGTACAAATCTGTGGTTGTGTGATAATTTAGCATTTCGACGGCCTTTTTTGAAGCTTTAAGTATAGAGAAAAAATATATTTTTTAGACTAATTCACAATTTATACATCCCGTGCACCTGTACAAATTGGATGTCATGTGCATGTTTCCATTACTTCTTAATTCTTTAAACATATATTCTTTTATAAAATTTGTTATATTAAAGTTAATATACTTTACTAAAAAGTATGTCCCTTAGTTGCAGGAATCGTGTAACTAGGTGGCGATTCTGAGTAAGAATCGTGATTTCGCGTTTTCTAGAAAGAAACGCGTAAGACTCGCATTTCTGTGGATAGAGAAACGCAATTCAGTCCAAGATAGGATCGTAAAGGGAGAGGGAGAGGGAGAGGGAGAGAGAGAGAGAGAGAGAGAGAGAAACCCTAGCCTTCGACGTCGACATGAGAGGAGAAAGAAGAAGAATTGTTGAGAGAATTTACAGTGAACCAGTGCTGAGATTAGGGCTTTGATTGCCTTCGTCACTCTCTTCTCTCACTATTGATCACGATCGTCTTCGTCTTTGAGGGCCTCGATCATCTTCGTCACTCTTTCAATCGTCACTCTCTCAATCGTCTTTGTCTCTCTCCCTCTTTATCTCTCTGTTCGTTGTTCTCTCTCTCTCTCTTCGTCTCTATGTTTAATTGATCATATATAATATATATTGTTTGTTGTTCTCTCTCTATCTTCATCTCTATGTTTTAATTGATCATATATATTATATATAATATATGTAATAAAATTTATAAATTATAATTTTTATCATATATAATAAAATTTCTAATTGTTATTTCTTAAAATATCATATATAATAATAATTTTTGTAAATTATTATTTCTTAACTTTTTAACAAATAATAAATAAAATAAATTATCTAATTATTTAAAATAAATCTAATTAAATCACATATAATAAAAAAATTATAAAACAAAATCTCTAATTCGAGTCCCGTCTTCTCCCATAAGTCTCTCGTGCCTAGGCGGTCGTGTGTGCCAAGTTTCGTGCTACTCTGACGCCATTTGGTGATTTTGGGACGTTAACACGTCGAATTCTAAGTTTCTTAAGAAACTAGTTTGTCCAGAGTAAAATTCGGCTCTAACTCCCAAACTGGGAACCCGATTCAAGTCCCGTCTTCTCCCACAAGTCTCTCGTGCCTAGGCGGTCGGATGTGCCAAGTTTCGTGCTAATCTGACGCCGTTTGGTATTTTGGAGCATCAACACCTCGAATTCTAAGTTTCTTAAGAAACTAGTTTGTCTAGAATAAAATCCAGTTCTAACTCCCAAACCGAGGATATGATTCGAGTCCCGTCTTCTCCCACAAATCTCTCGTGCCTAGGCGGTCATGTGTGCCAAGTTTCATGCTACTCCGACGCCGTTTGGTGATTTTGATCCGTTAACCCCTCAAATTCTAAGTTTCTTAAGGAACTAGGTTGCCGAGACCGAAATCCGGCTCTAACTCCCAAACCGGGAACCCGATTCAAGACCCGTTTTCTCCCACAAGTCTCTCGTACCTAGGTGGTCGTATGTGCCAAGTTTTGTGCTAAACTGATGCCGTTTGGTGATTTTGGGGCGTCAACACCTCAACTTCTAAGTTTCTTAAGGAATTAATTTACCGAGACCGAAATCCGACTCTAACTCCCAAACCAAGAACCCGATTCAAGTCCCGTCTTCTCCCACAAGTCTCTTGTGCATAGGCGGTCGTGTGTGCCAAGTTTTGTGCTAATCAGACTCCATTTGGTGATTTTGGGACGTCAACCCCTCAAATTCTAAGTTTCCTAAGGAACTAGTGTGCCGAGACCGAAATCCAGCTCTAACTCCCAAGCCAAGAACCCGATTCGAGTCCCGTCTTCTCCTACATGTCTATCGCGCCTAGGCAGTCGTGTGCCCCCAGTTTGAACTAGTTTACCTAGACCAACATCATTTTGGTAAAAATCCATCATGTGAACATGAAACTAGTTTTTTCAAGTCACCAAATAAATGCTACATACACTACAATAAAAAATGGTAAACACAAGAACCTAAAGTGTGAAGGAAAATAAAGCAGTTTATTTGAAATGATAATCTCTATGGGAAACCTCTTACAACATCTTTACATGTTTTGGATCTCTTTAAAGCCAAAAAACACCAAGACAATTGCCTAAAGTATTATTTTCAAGATGTAGGAGGATAGCAAACAATTTAAATGCAAATTCATTAAATATGTACCCTGAGTGTATTCTTAGTTGAAGAAAGCTCAAAAGGTTCAATGATCAAAACTGACGCCTTGCCTAGCTTCAGCCATGCTTACTCGGATTGACCTGCCATTTAGGTCCTACAGCAGAGATTATAAATCAGTTTTAGTCACAGAAAAAGTGAATGTTGGATAATAATACCTTACAGTAGATGTAAACTCTCAGTTGGGTAAATTGGATAGAAACAAAACAAGGTGAGAAATCCATGAGAATTTTGGAAATTTTATATTCAATTTGATCAATGAATGAATGTTTACAAACACTTCTCCAGTATGTCCATGTCCCACATAAACAACATATACCATCTGATGTTATTGGTATATAAACACATACTAGCACAAGAATATACTGTCTCCAGTTACAAAATCTTGCAATCATGCTCATAATAAACAATTAGCAGTGTCAAAAATCCTATAAATAAAAAGACTGATCGACATCCAATGGTGTCCTTGAACTTTGGAACTCTAATACTTGGTCTCATTGATGCATGTTAACAAACAAAAGGTACATGAACACTAGACCACCAGTTGGCACTACCATGCCCAACATATGAATATAATAAATTGTCAAATGTTATAGGTAGATAAAAAGCGTAATAAGGATATGTGTATGTCATTGAGTATCACCTAGTAGCAAAATCTGTTCGGAAATCTAATAGTTATCTTTTGAAAAATAAAATTAGAAAAAAGAACATCTATAAAATTATACACATAAAACTAAAGTAATGTTTGGTGTCCATTAAAAAAAAAATACTTCAATCATCACATACCTGCCACAGAAGAATCCTTTGAGTCGGAGCACCTGTAGGAACACCCTCCGGCCACATTGGGATGACAATATATGCAGAAAATCTCTCTGCTCTGATTTTATTTACAATTTTGAGAGCAGTTTCCATTGGTATTAAATTTTTTGCACCTGTGGATAATAAGAAACATATATATCATCCTCAAAATGCTCACTTTCACTGTCTAGAAAACTTGTAATTTCACAACAGCCACCCTATCTTTCCTCAAGATTATAATGTTTTTATTTCCCTTGTCACGTTTGTTTCAGCAAGCAACCAGAGCATGAAAAATGAAGAAAATGAAAACTAGGGTAATGAGTTAGATATTAACCATTACAAGCAGCTGATAGTGCATAATTTCCACAACAAATGACAATATATGAGTTACTGTATACTCGGATACCTATATATAATTTTCACATTACAACTTTTAATATGTGATAGTAACAACATATCCTTATTTTTTCCCTTTCAATTTACCTGAATGTCAATTCCTCACCCAAGTCTCTGTGGTTAGTCCAATTGTATGATGACCCAAGGAAGTACTGGTTCTCAATGTAAATGAAATGTTGGGCAGCACAGATTGCCTTTACATATGCAGTATGTATACTCATGTCTATCAGGACATTCTTCCCACATACCAGGTCCTGTTATAATGAAGGGAAGACATTAAGAAGCACACCTCATAAACAAGATTGACGGAAAAATAATCAAGGGGAAAATCACAATCCAAAATTTTCTCTCACCCTGCTTGTGGCGTCTTTTGGGTCTTTTGGAAACCCCTTAACAGAATTGGAATCAATTGAACGAAAAAACTATAATTTTTAAATAAGTTAGTTAATAAAAATTGAGTATCAAAGTTTAATAATTTTGAATATCTATTTTAACAGCCTTCATAAACTAACATACCTGGACATGCCAAGCTTCTGGACCATCCTCATTTAGGCAAGACACATCTGTAATTCCAATGATGTCGGGAATTCTATCAATTATGAGTAATGAATCATCATGCGACTTTGTCATTTTTTGAAGCCCATGAGGCTTTGAAGCCCTTAACCAACGCTCCTCAAAGTTGGTGAGGATGTCATATGCTGCTGGACCATCAATTTGACAGTGTAAGTCATGCCACGGTTCTCTTGGACAGCCAGCAACAGGCCCCTGTTCAAGTAACAACAAATATTGGGAAAAGGAAAAGTTAGAGAAAATGAATCTTTAACATCACAAGTTAAAATGGAAGTGGTATCACCAACCCAGATACTTGTCCTACTCTATTTATATTCGTCATTCTTTTCCTTTCTCATTATACTTTTCTTATCTTTTCTAGCGACCCAAAAAAATTGGGGTAGATTTTCTTACTCTATTTATACTTTTCTTTTCGTGAATGAAAGTTTTGGTTTATATAATTATTTGGAACCATGAAATATTGATCAATTTTGTACAAGCCAAACAACAAAACATGTGTTCTGGCTTGTCGCAACCAAACATAGGAAAACAAGTCATTTTAAAGACAATGTTTTCCATGGAAAATGTTTTCATTGAAACAAATGGAATGTTAGTAGATAAATCACATATAACTAAAGGAGAGCAGTAACAATAAAAATCCATAACTTGATATGGCAATATAGAATGTTGATTGAATGAATACCGTGAAAGTAGGATTATGATAGTCATCTTTGTGCACAGTTTGTAATGTCCGAAAGATAGGATGTTTGGGAGTGTCATATCTCCCATTGCATAAATCAAGACCCCCAACAAATGCTATGATCTTCCTCTTATAATGACCTGCATCAGCATCCACAATCACAGTTTTCTGATGATGGGTGTAGATTGTTCCTGCTTCCTGATAACCAGACCAATAAGACATTAAAAGCAGATCCTGAATCTAGAAAAGGTATATCAAGATTATCATTAAAAATTTTGGTTTTAGCAATTCTAATTCGTTGTTTGATCTAACACCTTGGTAGACAATTGTAAATAACGCATTACAAAAGGTATGATTCTCTACAAAATAGCAATATGAAAAAGTAACTGACAAAAACAAAATACAGTTCCATAACATCAAATTCAACTATGCTAACTATTAGTAACTCGAGTTTAACATGATTGGTTAAAATTTACACGGCTTCTGAAGACAAAACATTTAGCAACACAAATTGCCTTACTTCACCACCACTTTTACAAATTCAAGAACTCTTTTCAACTTTCCTAGAACTTATTAGCATCATCTCACGGAACTTAGAAGAAAGCTGCATCCAATTCTTCAGAAAACATATCACAACAAGGTAAGATGTAAAGATTGCAGATCTGACCTGCTTTTTGACCCAGCTATATCCTTTTCCAGAAGATCGGGGACAAAGCAAAACTTGCACTGAAGAATGCTTGAAGAACTTCCGAGTCTCCTCATCACCGGTATGCATTACCCCATCCTAATAAAAAAAGTAATATCTTGTAAAAAATGTTTTACTTAAGCTAATGAGCAATGTAGGATTAAAAAGTTAATGTGGACACCACGTTTAAGGAACATAACTTAGCAGATGTCATGAAAGAAGACAGTTAGTACACTACAACTCCAGCTGAGAAAGGTTTATCCACAAATAATAAGATCTATAAACACAATATGGTATGATAAACTTATTTAAACAATAAATAACAATATAGGGTGTTAATAAACACTTGCATGGAAACCATGACAATTGACAAATTGAAACATCAAGTCATACAAGATTGTTAGACTTCAATCCAATCTTATAATTTCAACAATGCTGAATGCCAAGATAACAAAAACAAGAGCATTATACAAAGTGAGGAGGGAAACAAGGAAGAACAAGGACACTCATTTATAGGAACTGTAAGCCCATTTTAAACTTTCAAAGCATAACTTCACTCAATGATGGAAACAAACTCTTAAACCATGACTTGAATTTGTCAATAATTAAAATTATACCACCCAAAATAGGGCCCAATATGATAAATATCACTGCTATCCACCCATGATAAGTAACCAAACCAAACCAAACCAAGCCTTAAGTCCCATCAAATGGGGTCGGCTACATGAATCATTCTTCATCACTCGACTCTATCAAAGGCCATTTGGTTAGTCAAACTAAGGACATTCATATCTCTACTTACTACACTAGCCCACATCCACCCATGATAAGTAGAATGAAAATTTTGATGAAGACCATAGTACATACTCCATTGTGTCAATAAATTGTGGCACAATGTGATAATGTTTTGAGCAAAATTTAAAACATTCCACCTCAGGTTTCAAAAAGATTTGATGATTAAACAAGATCATTCAAAGCACCTGGAGGAAACAACCCAGAAATGCACGAGGTACACAAGAAGCTAAGCTCCAAATATATATATATATATGTCATAAAAAATATCCACATAAAAGTCAATGAAAATTTAAGAACTCGCTGTCAAACATCATCACATGATAGCAGACAATCCTCCCATAGAAACAACCATGGAGAACAAATTTAATCAAAGAAACCTACAGAAAAAATCAACACAAATATAAAGTAATGAATTAAATTATTTTGAAGGCCTTATGACAAAAACATTAGAATGTACTGATGCCAAACTAAACAAAATACAATGAGCAACCACCTTGAGCTCCACAAAAGTAATCAATTGAGCTATAAGCTCCAACATAGGAAATTAGTCCTTTATCTGACTTGTGTTTAAAACAACAATATAACACATGAATTATAAAAGATGAAGATCCATTAATCATCTATTGGAAAATCTCCCAAAGTAAAGATAAAATTACAAAATGGAATAAATAGATAACTATTCAAATTTCAAAAAAATGACAAAAGTTGAATAGTTGTTCTAATTGATTTGAGTTGTAGCAGGTTGTGTATTTTGCATAAAGCAATTTCTTAGTCAAGAACAAGAAAAAGAAGAAGAAGAAGGTCAAAAGGATATCACAACAGGCCAGCTAATTAATGTATCTACACCTTTCCCATATCTATAAGTAGTCCCCTCTCCTTCTTCTGTACCAATCTATCTACACCTACCCCATTTGATTCTTAAGCACCCCCTCATGTTAAATTTAAATAATTTTTTTTATTTTATTTATAAATCTCAGAATATTTTCATTTATTTTATTAACTTTTGTTAAAAAAAAAAAAAAAGAAAAAAAAGTAAGAATGAAAAATATAGTAAAAGTTATATGCAAGTATCCCCCTAGATAAGTCCTATTTTTTAAATCAATTAAAAATTTGGATTAATTTTTCCGTCACCAACTCAATGTTGTTGAATTGTCAAAATTTTTAGAAGATCAGCGTGCTTAAAACAATTGTTTGCCATCGATATTATCCCCAATTTCACCATTTGCTTCTACCATATCTCTCCTAATACTAATTGGGAGAGCTTAGATTTATGAAGTAATTTCTCCCCATTCCTTCATCGGATTGGTTTAGTATTTATAAAATTAGAACATTTCAAACCCAAAATTAAACCCAGATCACCTTTGAAATCAGTAAAACCCAACAAAATTAAGATCAAGCAACTACTGCTAACTAATTAAACTCTCAATTCACAAACAGAACCCAACTGAATTCAGATCAATAAAGAACATTTCAAACCCAAAATTAAACCCAGATCACCTTTGAAATCAGTAAAACCCAACAAAATTAAGATCAAGCAACTACTGCTAACTAATTAAACTCTCAGTTCACAAATAGAACCCAACTGAATTCAGATCAATAAAGAACATTTCAAACCCAAAATTAAACCCAGATCACCTTTGAAATCAGTAAAACCCAACAAAATTAAGATCAAGCAACTACTGCTAACTAATTAAACTCTCAGTTCACAAATAGAACCCAACTGAATTCAGATCAATAAAGAACATTTCAAACCCAAAATTAAACCCAGATCACCTTTGAAATCAGTAAAACCCAACAAAATTAAGATCAAGCAACTACTGCTAACTAATTAAACTCTCAGTTCACAAATAGAACCCAACTGAATTCAGATCAATAAAGAACATTTCAAACCCAAAATTAAACCCAGATCACCTTTGAAATCAGTAAAACCCAACAAAATTAAGATCAAGCAACTACTGCTAACTAATTAAACTCTCAGTTCACAAATAGAACCCAACTGAATTCAGATCAATAAAGAACATTTCAAACCCAAAATTAAACCCAGATCACCTTTGAAATCAGTAAAACCCAACAAAATTAAGATCAAGCAACTACTGCTAACTAATTAAACTCTCAGTTCACAAATAGAACCCAACTGAATTCAGATCAATAAAGAACATTTCAAACCCAAAATTAAACCCAGATCACCTTTGAAATCAGTAAAACCCAACAAAATTAAGATCAAGCAACTAGTACTAACTAATTAAACTCAGTTTACAAACAGAACCCAACTGAATTCAGATCAAGGAACAACATTTCAAACCCCAAAATTAAACCCAGATCACCTTCGAAAGAGCCTCGACGATGGTATCAAGAATATGCCTCGACTGTCGATCATAATACTCCTCAACAGTGAGCTTCCAACCCGGGTCATTATGCGAATGAGGGACCACAAAAACCTTCAAGGTCTCCGAATCCCACTCGTTCCCTTCGTATCTCACCCTCCAACCCTGCTTCCACGGCCCAGAAATGAGGAGTCCATTAGACAGAGGGCGATGTCGATGGCGATGTGCGACGGACGTGAGCAATGGTGGTAAGGGACTTCGGTGAGCTAGAGAGAGTGGGCACCGATTGAGAGAGAGAACACAGAAAGAGGGAGGGGCGGGCCAACATAGAGAGACACAGATTAGGGCTTTTTTTAGATAGAGACAAGGGAGATCAGGCTTTAATTTTTTTTCTGTCGAGCACCAAATGGGCAATGTCAGATGGGACGATTTCTTCTTCGGAGAGGCGGGTTTCGAGGGTGTCTTGCCATTGATTGTGGTGGTGGGTTTTGAGGATGTCACAGAGTTCGTTGACGAGTTGCTTGATGTAGGGTTTGAAGGAGAAGGAAGGGGAAGAACTGGGTTTGGGGTTGTGACGAGGTTTGATGCGGGAGAGAAGGGTTTTCAACATGAGAGAGAAAATGAGGTTTGGGAGTCATCTGCTACTTCAAAAGTCTTGTTCCTTTCATTGTTCCACACAAGTTGCAACAGTAGTACATGGATACAACTAATGAGTGCCACGGTGGTTCAAATTTCATTTCTCCCCTCCATCTTTCAAATTTCCCCCCAAACTTTTGGCGACCAAAAGATTAAATTAGTCGCAAAAATAGGTTCTTTCGCTGACAAATTTTTTTGGTCGCCAAATCTTAATGAACAGCGACTAAAATATTAGTCGCTAAAAATACTAATTTGGCGACTAATTTTTTTTGGTTGCTGAAAATAAGTTTTTCGTGACCAAATTTTTGATCGCCAAAAAATATGTGACCTTCCGCGACCAAATTTGTAATTGGTCGACAAAAGTATACCACTTTCTGCGACCAACATATTTTTTGGTTGCCAAAATATAATCTTCTGCAACCAATAATATTTGGTCGCCAAAAATAACGATCATTCGCGACTAATTAATATTTGGTCGCCAAATGTCATTTTTTTGCGACTAAAATTTTTTTGATCGGCAAAAGTGGTCGCAAAATGTGTAAATTCTTGTAGTGACAACACTGCCTGCGGGACCATTGAAGAGGACAATATAAACCAAAGGAAATTTTTAATTGGTCCCATACAATATTCGATTTTATCACTAAAAATTAAATAATAATACTTATAGTGACACAAATATTTAATATCTAAAAAATAATTTTACTCTTAAATTTTTATTTTTAAAATTTTGAACTCTTGTAATGGTGGGTGACAAAAGTCAGCGCTACTAATTTCCTAATACAATTCGTTGTTGATCGGAACCAAAGGAAATTTTTAATTGGTCCCATACAAATGAGGCTCTCATATTGTAATAACCTAATGGTAAATTCCTTCACACTTTAAGAAATTTTACGCACTTTATTTATTTTTTTATAAATCTCCTATGTAGGTTGGAGAGGGCGAGGCTTCTGGCATTTCTCTCTCTCTTTCATTTTTTCTTTGATTTTTTTTTTTTTAATCATCATTATGCTAATCGTTTGCACCTCCTTCCATTTCCATTATTAGATTGTCATTAAGAAGACTTTCACATCTATCCTGAATTATAGGAGAATCAATTATTTTTGAAAACGACAATATTACAAAATTGATATCTAAACACTACAACATATAAGAGTTTTAGAGATTAAATATTTTAATTTCTAAAAGTGAAAATTTTGTTGGAAAAAATATATAGAGACCAATTTTTATCACCGTGAGAATAGTCGTTAAAATGTTGTTCCGAAAAGTAAAAAATAAAATTTTTAAAAACAAAATTTTAAAAATGTCACTAATAAATAGACTTTTAGAGACAAAATAATTTGGTTTCAAAATAAGTTATTTTTTGAGACAAAAAATTTAGTCTCAAAAGGATGATAATTCATCACCAATGTCTAATTTTCGTTGTCAAAAATATAATGACGATACTTTTGACAATAAAAATATTTAATTCCTAAAAAATAATTTTATTCCTAAATTTTAATCTTTCAAATCTTAATTTTTTATAATAAAATAATAAAACTTAGGGAGCTGTTAAGATGTGCACCTTATTAAATAGTGCACATCATGTACACATTTATTTTAAACCATTAGATATTTATAAATTAATCTCAACCATCAAATAATTTGATTGAAAATATTGAATACCCGCTTAACCGGTTACAATTTTGTTCACGGATTGTTGTATGTTCCACAAACCCTCTTCACTTTGTTTTCCCAAAACTGTTATTCTTCAGACCAATCCGAAGCTCTTATTCGCCCTCTTCAGACACGACTTCGGAGCTCTCTTCAGAGACGACTCCGAAGCTCCTCTTCGCCTTCTTCAGACACGACTTCGGAGCTTTCTTCAGACACGACTTCGGAGCTTTCTTTGCCCTTGAACCTCAAGGTATGTCTCTCTCTCTCTCTCTCTCTCTCTCTCTCTCTCTCTCTGTCGCTGCAACTTGTTTCTCTCCCTCCATCTCCATTCTATGAAACCCTAGACTGAAATCCCCTTCGTCGAAACTGCCCCTTTCACCATTGTGAACTCACTAGGTTGGTTTATAAAATTAGGAAAATATGAATTGAATCGGTTGAAATCTGATGTGTATTTACTTGAAATTTGGCTTGAGTGTGTGAAATCTGATGTGTGGGTACTCATGTAACTGATATGAGACTGTAATTTTTTATTTGTTTATTGAAATCTGTTTATGTTTGTAACAATTGTTCTTTTGGTGGCTTGTTTTTCCTATTAGAAAGAAAATTACAGTGGTTTGGGATGTATTACCTTTAGCAATTGTTTGGGAATTGTGGAAAGTGAGAAACGAATGGATATTTTGATGTTACTGTTACTTAGTTGAATACCCATTTAGTTATTTTTGTTTTTTTTCATCAAAAGTGTTAAAAAATTATCTCTAATTATTTCATTAAATCTCATGAAGGGAGAGTTATTTTTTTAGCAAATTGAGAACCAATAAAGTAAATCTGAATTTGATGGGGAAAAAAAATGAAGCATTGGAGATGGGTTTTCATGATCAAATTTGATGAAAAGGGGAATTTTGGATAAGAGGAAGGTTTTTAAAAAGATTTTAATGAAAGGATTTTAGTAGTTCATATAAAATCAAGTGTTTTTTACTCAAATTTGAAATCAAATTAGTTGAAAAAATTGGTGAAAGGTTGGAGATGCTGTAAAATGGTTTATGAGATACCTTGGAGACAATGAAATGCCAAAATTTGATAGGACTAAGGCCTAAATTAGAAAATCTACAAGGTATTAACAATAGAATAAAAGTTATGAAATGATGAGATTTTTAACACTATATGAGGGAGAAGCTGAGTTTGTTGATTTAGGGTTTTTTAGATGCTCTTAGGCTAGTTACATTGTGAGGTGTTTGATAGGTAGTAGGTTGTGTGGTTGTTGAAGAGGGAGAGATCTATATTTTCAGGTAATTTAACCAAAGAGAATGATTATATCTGATGAGAACAAGAACAACCCCACTTTGATTAAACCCATAAACTTACAAGAAATGAGTAGCAGAAGGTTTGGGGTGGAGATTAGGCCCAACCATGGAGCCGTAAGCATGATTAATCAAAATTTAGCTCAAGCTCATCCTTACCCTTGTGTTGTCAACAAGAAAGTCTTGTCAGAAACCCATGAAATTTGTGATAAGTTACATCCTCAGCCAGCTCATAGACCAATCACAAGGAAATTTGCGGCACAGATTGCGAGCACACAACAAAATTGTCTGGAGAAAACTAAGAAACCCGATTCATCATCTATTCAAAGCTTCAGAGTCTGGGAAGATTGTCCAGTAATAGATGAGGAACATAAGGAAGCTACAGACCCCCCAGTTCCAATGTCCTTGGAACAAACAGAAACAGTCCCGGATGAAGAGGAACAGATGGAAGTTGAAATGGAAGATATATTTGAAGAGCCCGTTATGGATATTGACAGCTGTGACGCCAAGAATCCACTAGCATTAGTCGAATATGTCCACGATGTCTATGCCTACTATAGAAAATGGAGAGTTGTAGCAGTGTTTCACCGAGCTACATGTCACAACAACCTGACATCAATGAGAAGATGAGGGCAATACTAATTGACTGGCTTGTTGAGGTACACCACAAGTTTGAACTAAGGGATGAGACGCTATTTCTGACTGTTAATATTACAGATCGGTTTTTAGCTCAGCAAGGAGTGGCGCGAAAGAAGCTACAGTTAGTTGGTTTGGTCGCAATGCTCTTAGCGTGCAAATATGAGGAAGTTTTAGTACCTGTTGTGGATGATTTGCTTTTCATTTCAGATAAGGCCTACACTAGGAAAAAAGTTCTTGAAATGGAGAGATTAATGCTTAATGCATTGCAGTTCCACATGCCAGTTCCAACCCTGTATGTTTTTATGAGAAGATACCTTAAGGCTGCTCAATCCAACCGGAAGCTTGAGCTTTTATCTTTCTTCCTGATGGAGCTCTGCCTTGTGGAGTATGAGACACTCAAGTTCGCGCCATCTTTCTTGGCTGCTGCAGCGATCTACACTGCTCAATGTACACTCTACGGGTTTAAGCAATGGAGTAAAACCTGCGAGTGGCACACACACTATACACTCTTTTTTCTTTTTCTTTTTTGAATTTTCAGACTAAATTTCAATATACACTAAGATGTTGAATGTTATGATGATGTGAACAGAGGCTAGTTTTCTTGAGTACTGGCCGTCATGCATTGCTGCTGCAACTATTCTATGTGCAGCCCATGATATTCCAAACTTGTCTATTGTCAATCCTGCACATGCTGAATCATGGTGTGAAGGACTTCGGAAAGTAAGAACATTTTATTATGATTTAGGTTGGGCATACAAAAAAATAGTAAATCTATTTGAATATATGCCAACTTGGAAAATATTTGTTTTTTTGCAGGAGAAAATCATTAGCTGCTACCAGTTGAAACCTAAACATGTGGACATGTATAGCATGCAACAACATGCAAAATGAAACAAGCATGCAACAACATGGTGAGATGGACTTGCACTAACATGGGTAGCTCTCAAGCACGCCAAAATCAGTGGCCAAAAATGATGGAATCAAGGCACCAAAACTCATGCAAACATGCACAATGCAATGGCCCCGTGACTAAGGCACAAAATGCAACTCTCCAAGAGCATGGCAAGGATGAAACATGAGGCACAATGGCATACACTCCAGCTCTGAAATAGCATACAAAATGACTCCGAAATGTTGCAACAACTCATGCAATGCATGTTAATAGGCTCAAGTACCGAAACTAGTGAAGCACATTACACTAGAGGTATGCAAAGCAATGCTCAAATGATGAAACCAACCCCAAACAGACCTGATGCGGTCCCTAAACAGTGGCAAAATGAGCTGAAATGAGGGCTTGGCATGCACCAAAATGAAGCTCATGCAAAGGCTCATAAACAAGGCATAATGATGCAACTCTCAAACGCATCGAAGGCATGCTAAACATGAGAATATGGCACACATATAAGCTCTCAAATAGCATTCCCTATGATACCAAAACATGCAAACACCTCAAGCAACGCATGCAAGGGGCTTCAAAACTCAAAGGTAAGCAAGGCTATTACACTACAACCATGCATGGAAAGCACCAACCAACCAAGAGGCCTAAAAATGGAGCTAAGGCAGCCCAAAATATGAACAAAACATGTTTGAAACATGGCCAAAATATGCTAGAATGGAGGGCCAAAACAACATGCAATGTGAGCTAGTAAGCATGGTTTACACTACAAGCATCTGAAGCAAATGAGGGACCACCAAACCAGCCAAAAACAGATTCATGGCATGCCAAAATATGACTAAAAACCCACTGAAACATAGCCAACACATACTAGAATGGGGTGCTCCTTTGATAAGCCAAGAAAGGGGTTACTCTACACATGCAAGAAGCAAACAAAAGGGGACCAAACCAAGCATGGACAGAGGCTAGGCAGGTCCTAAGAGTCACCAAAAGGGCCTGAACCAAGCTTAGGATGCATGCAAATATGGGCTCCTTTGTAAGGCCAAAAATGCAAGTAAACAAGACAATAAGGAGAGGGGATGACCCTTTTTTTCTTAGGACCTGAAAACACCATCCCCACCATTGAAATCCCTCTGGATTTCAGTGGTGAGAAGGCCAATACAAGGTGGCCCCGAAGCTCACAAAAAAGGTACAAAAAGGAGGCCAAACAAGGCCTTAGAGTGGGTAAACAACCCCAAACACAAAAGTGACCTTAAATAAAGATCAAAAGCATGCAAAATCAAAACTTTTATCAGTTATACAATAAGCTTAAAACAACATGCAAGATAGGCTAAAAGCTAGTACAAAAATGGGAAATATAAAGCAATAGTGCTCACCCTTGAAGAACACTTGAAGAACAGCAACTCCAGCCCCCTCATTCTGATCAAAACCCACTCAAAACTCCAAGAACAAACTCTCAACACCTCCCAAAACCAAAGTATGGTGTAACACTAGGTGTTTTAGTGCAAAACTAAGAACAAAACACCCTTTTGGACACTATAACACACACAAATGAAGAGATATAGGGATATATAGAGAGAGAGTGAGATATATGACATATATATCTCTGATTTGCTCAACCTCTCTAATGGAAGGAGAGGCCTCCTTTTATAGAACAAAACAAGGACCAAAGCTTCTTAGAGAAGCTAAGGCAAGGGGGTCAAGCTTCCTCAAGAATCTAGACCAAAGGTCCAAGCTTCTTGGAGAAGCTAAGACAAAGGGTCTAAGCTTCTTCAAGAAGCTTAGAGCAAAAGGGTGCAAAGGGTGCAAGTCCTCCATACACGTGTATGGAGGACAAGTCTGTGCACTCCAGCTGGCACAACTGGCATGCACAATGCCTGAAAAAGGCAAAAAGGAGTCACCGGCCAGGAAAAGAGACAATCGGCCAAATATCTGTGCCGACCGACCAAACAATTGGTTGGTAGAAAGAAAGCAAAGTCGGTGGCTTCATGCCACGGCCGATGGGTTTAAGGGATGGCTAACAAGCCACTTCCTACCCTCAGGTGCAAAAACCACAAGTCCTTGGTCCACAACCAAGCACAAAACAGTCAAGTCGAGAAATCCTAAGGAAAGGCGCGTAGCTAAGTCCTTCAGGATCTCAAAATGAACACGAACATGGATGATCACCGAGTGTTCAAACGATGGCGTCCAAGTCTTGAGGACGATCAAAAATGGGGTGTTTACACCGAGAACACCATTGCCGATGGGTTTAAGGGATGGCTAACAAGCCACTTCCTACCCTCAGGTGCAAAAACCACAAGTCCTTGGTCCACAACCAAGCACAAAACAGTCAAGTCGAGAGATCCTAAGGCAAGGCGCGTAGCTAAGTCCTTTAGGATCTCAAAATGAACACGAACATGGATGATCACCGAGTGTTCAAACGATGACGTCCAAGTCTTGAGGACGATCAAAAATGGGGTGTTTACACCGAGAACACCATTCTCGGCAGAATTAGACAAAATAGAAGCTCCGAAGAGATTTAGTATGCCGAGGTTCCAAATATACGATGGTAAGTCAGACCCTAACTTCCATGTTGGATTATACTTGAACTCAATGGCATTGTATAGTGGGAATAAGCCGTTGCTCTGCAAAGTGTTCCCTTCATCCTTCGGGGAGATTGTATCAGATTGGTTCCACAAACTACCGAAGGGAAGCGTGAAGACTTGGGAAGGCCTGGCTGAGATGTTTGTGGCCAGGTTCACGACAAACAAGCTGCAGCCATTAAGGGTGGACGCATTGATGGCTCTGAAGATCAGCAGGGATGAAGGCCTTAGGGCCTATGCAAAGAGGTACTATGAAGTGTTCAACCGAATACCCGAATGCAACCAAGAGGTAGCA